TTTTTGGAAAGGCCCTGGGGTGTCCTGAAAAGATTGTATGCAATTTTGGTTGACCATTTGAGCATATGAGCGAGTGGAAACCTTTAATAACATTCAAACCTTAGTTTCAAATATTTTTAGCACATAGTAGTAAGATTTGTAAAATCTAATTTGTTTTTGTCCATACGAGTTTGTTCTAGATTTTCTTTCAAATAGTGCGAGGTCTCTCTCGTATCTTTTGCGCAGTAATTATCCACGAAAAGATAACGAAGAATGATGAGGTAAAAGTTTCCCAAAAAATTGACTTTGGCTCAAATATGATTAGCCTTCTTTGCTGTTCTGCAAGCTTCAAAATCATGAAGGTCGTACGTTTTTATTTACTAATTTTTAAAGGTTATCACTACGATTTCATATAAAAGCTTATAAAGCATAAGATGTTTCACGTGAGGAAGCGTGAACTCATCTTTTTGAAGATTTCGTACTTTTTATGACAACAGATAAATTTGCCATATCTCTGAAAAATTTTAACACACATCAGCTAAAATATTGCTATGACAATTAATGTTTCTAGAAGTTTCTTGCTATCATAAAATGTTTGCTTACCGCAGGCGGATAGTTGAGGTTTGGTACAAATCTGTTGTTGTAGTATTCCGTTGAACCTGGTGGAGCGGTGAAGTCGGAGATCAATTTTGGATTTGGAGGAATATAGCCAAGCCTGGCTGCGTCACCCTGTAAATAATATGTTTAAAAAAACCATTAAGCACAACATTTATCAACTAGAGTTCTAAATTTTTATTGAAGAGTACTCCATCTCCGCAAAGAGTCATTAAGATTTCTTAGATTCAGGTTAATGGCATAAAGAATTATGACAAAAACACTATTACGCTCTAAAAGTGGACTTTGTTTATGAAGGTAATGTAATGACAGACAAGAGACAGTGCAGTGAGAGAGTTATTCAATAACCGCACAATAGAGGATGAACTGCTCAGCAAAAAGCAAGTTATTTTCACTTAAATAATCCTTATGTTACTTAAAAGTCTTTGTCCAGCTTTAGAGAGAGAGGAGAATAACCCCTAAATCTTTTAAGGCAAGAAAGATCTAAGCCCTATGCAAAGTGCTTTACCCT